TAACCTTCCATGTCAGAGGTACCGGCTCCACACAAGATATGTTTTGAGGGAAAGTGGATTTCCTTTCGATTTGAAGTAMAGGAGATGCAATATCCTTGGCATCAAGTGGAARGACGGCGTGTTTTACGTTGTCTTGACCATTGTTAATTTCATCTAGGATTCCCTTGCAATTAACTTGCACGTGGACATAGAATCGACCTGAAATCCGACGAGGTACTGATATTGACACKWCGGCTTTGTAATCTTGCATGAAAGTTAACTTTATGGAAACARCCTTTGATCCTAAATTTTGAGCCAAGCTGTCAATTGAAGTAGTCGGAGATAAATATACACAATCGGTCCAGGCACTCTCTTCMTCCATTGAAAAACCAATATTTCTTGTTTCCCACTGTACTATTAAAAGTCGAGTCAAGTAGTTTAAGCTGTAAATAACTTTTAGGATTTTAAGGTCAGGATATGGCTTTGCTCGTAGTACATAGTGATTTGAAGCAGTATTGGTGCTGTAATCGGTCTCTGTTATTGACCTATAACCATTGACGTTGACTATCAAAAAGTGGTCTCCAAAGATATTGTCTGGTAATCGAACAGTTGTTGTTTGGTTGTATATTTTCCCAGCAAGAATATTTTTTCTTACAACAACCTCTTTGATTTTGACTGCAYCATCCAAAGAACTGGACTTCGATAAAAACAACTGGTCAGTCCACGAGTTAACCAAGGTGTTTCCTTTGCCAATRTTTTGCACAGTCCAATATGCATTTAMTGTAGATCCCGCGAAGACTTCTGATGACCTTGAAAAAGCTATCCTCAGCACAACGAGGTCGGGAAGAATTTTTGGTATTGTTATGGGAGGACCACGCCGTTCGTTATCAGCCTTGTTAGTTTCAAGAACGGAAGAATGAACGTCTGTAATAACAAACACGTAATAAAGCCCAAAAATATTTCGAGGGACTTTGAACCGAGTTGAAATAACTTTATAGGATTCCTTTGAAGGAAGATTGGTTTTCCTTAGGACTTCACCAAGAATATTCAATTGGTTAGAAGAAAATTGCTCGGATACTGATAGAACAACTTTATCTGTCCAAGGTGCAGAAAAAGTCTTTACTTTCCCATCATTTAGCACAGTAAAGTTAACATGAAGGTAAGTTATTTCTGGGTTACTTTTGACGAAAGCATTTACATTTGTCACAATTAAATTAGGAAGCGATTGAATAATTTCAAATTTCCTTTCTTTTACGTTATTGCTTTTGTATGTAAACTCGAATACTTGGCTGTATACATCGGCGTGTATTTGTAATGTATACTGGCCTGTAAAAAGTGATGGTGAAACAACAAACTTGATCTCTCTGTCATACCAATTCCCAGCAGGTAGAAYCCCAGAGAAGGTTGGAGTYGCAATTACCAACTTGACTTTTGAGTTGACATTTGTGATCGACTGAAAAAAAAACTTTTAAGTTAAAAACTATCTTAAACGTGCCTTTATATACCGTGGATTCCTTAGAATATATATCTTTATTCAAGAGTATTTTTTTAATGGTAGTTGCCGATGTATCCGTGAAACGATGTTCCTTGTAATGCAGTTACGTTTATTTGTAGTTAAAGATAATTGACTGAGGTTTTGAGTTTAATTTGTACAAATAAAGKTTACATACTACTTGATCACTCCACCAGTTTTGAAAAGGTCTCCCATAACCCTCGTTTACCACACGGTAACGAATGGTTGCTGTATTTCCACTAATAAACTGGGACGACTGAAATGACAATCTTCTGACCACTAAATCAGGAGGAGGAGATAGGACAACTTTCAAAGGAGACTGGAAATAAATTATACGGATATTTTAAAAACTTATAACTGAACTCAATGAGATTCAAAGCGATCAAACCTTCGCAGCCAGGATGTTATCACTTTCTCCTGAATCTTCAAACACAGTATTTGTAGCGTCTGTCATGACGATGACAAAGAAATTTCCAAATATCTTGCGAGGTACTTTCAATGTTATTGTCTCGGTGTATTCTTGATTCACAGCAAGTAAACCATTGTGAATCTTGTAACCAAGATAAGCGTCGTCTTTTTCTTAAGAATAATTGTAATAATAGAAGTTATAAGTCAAGTTTTTAGGTAAATCAACAACAGTGATGGAATAACGCACATAAATCAAGGTGAAGAGGTGTTTGAGTAAACTTGGAGAGCTGCTATTGAACGCTGTAACAATTACCAGTTTTAAAATCAACCAAAAAAATGGATTGTCTCAAAAACAAAGTCATGCACCTCAGATATCAAATTTTTCATGATTGATTTAAGTTTCTTTTCAATTAAAATATATACTAATGATTTACTACTATATAATACGCACCCAACTGTTGATTTTCTTTAGATAAAAACAGCCGATCGGTCCATGTTGGTTTCCCTGTTATTCCTACTCCTTTATTTGCTACGGTCCACTTAACGCTTATGGACTTCCCTAAAAAAGTCAAAACAATTCTTGTAATGCAGCTTTGATCAGATTAATTGACATATGGCTTGGTTTGACTATTGATGGTTGTGCTATTAGATGTAATAGATCAAAGACGAGGGCGAGTGTTTCATCAGGGGATCCAAATACCGAGGAACTGATGAAAGCACGAGGCCGCAGGCCGAGTGCTTTTATCTGTTTCGAGGTGTTTGGATTCCCCTGATGAAACACGAAGCACGAGTTTTTGATCTGGCTTCTCAAACAAATTAATAATTCATGACTCATTAGCAATAAGAGGTATGTTTAGAAAACGAAGGAATTTGCATGATTTAATTCAATTCATTGTGAAATTTTCGTATATAAGACTGGCTTTAGCTGAACGAATTGAGTCAGTAAACCATGGCTGAAGCTTCTAACGCGTATAGATTTCGAACTCCCAAGAAGAAGAAGAAGAAGAGTCGGCTTTGCTGGTGGAGTCGACACCAAAATCAACTTTGTACAAGACCAAATGGTCTGTTGAGCTTTTTAAAACGTGGCAGATATCCCGTAAAATCAAGTATCCTTCATTTGAAGTAGCAAACGCGTTTAAAGAGTGCAGACTCAGCGATGTGAAGGACGTAACGGAAGAATTGAAGGAAATGTCCGCGGTTTCTCTTAACTACTGGCTGTNGTTCCTTCATTTGGTTTTATTGACCTGTGCACACTTCCTAAGAGTGTTTTTAGTCAATCCTCGAACCAGCGTGTTCAATAAACTTGAGTACCGAAACGAACCAACGCGTTCACGAATAAGCCAGCGTGCCGACGCTGCACTATTTGACAAACTGTCAGTTTTAAAACATACAAAACTATCTAACAAGAGCACAGAGTACATTTCATTGAATTCTCACATTGAGTTAAAGTACTCATTTATTGGCCAGTGCCTTTTATGATTTACGGCACAACGAACAATTGCTTTCAGAGAATAGCTATCCGCGATATCCATGTTCAGTGTTCAGTGGGAAGACTATATGACTAATACAATTTGATTGACTAAAAACTCTCTTAGGAAGTGTGCACAGGTCAATACAACAAAATGAAGGAACGGAGACCTAATTTACTCACCGTTTATGGTCTTTTCAAACTTCAACAGTTTCTCCCTTTAGCTATGGGGTACTTCAACGACTCGCAAGCGACTTTGGAAGAGTCTATAGCCGGGCCACTACAAACAATGATATCTTGACCGAGTCTACATAAAAATCTGACRCTTMTAAWAAACTGACATCATRGAGGAGACMCATCCAGGATAAGATCGAAAAGACAACAAACTTCACATGACGCTATACTGGTTTCTTAGTTTCTAATTTTGTGACATATTTCGCCTATTTAACTGATTTATAATGTCGCGCTAAATCCCCTTCATGACAATTTCTGGAAAACATAATCTGCTCGTTGGCACTTAGCGGTAGCTATGACTAGTAGTAATTAAAATAAGAAGTTGTTCAATAAAAATGTAGCTTTCTACAGGTATTCRTTGTTAGTTGACTGTCCATTTATGCGTGAATATTTGTTACTAACGCAAAAGCTGATATGCATGCATTATTTGAAACTAAATGAATGACCATTAGAATCAAATCATAATATCAAACCAAATCACAAACAGCTTAGTTGGTATGTCTATGGGATTTCATGCGAGAGGTCAATGGTTCGAGTCACCGGCGCAGCAATATAAGTTAAGAAAAAGTAAAAATAAAATAAAAATAAATGTAATATGTAAGTCATCAGGTAGATTAGATTAGGGAAAAAGAGAAAAGAAAGTAAGAAGAAAAAGAGAAAATAGTATATAAAAGCTAGAAAAAATATCAGATGAAGGTAATATTTTGTATAAAATTAAATATGCAGCTCTAGGATTTGGATATCTGAGGAAATTCCTAGGACTTAGATATCCAAATCCTATAGGAGATGGATCTCATTTGCATTCGGTGTTGGATCAAGGTATCCAAATGCATACACGTGACCCTAAAGAGATCAAATGATTGGACAGGCAAGTCATGAATTATTAATGAGTTTGAGAAGTAAGTGTCCAAAATGATGTAAATTTGATGTCAATCATTTAGATAATATTTACATCACATTTACAATCTTTTAAAGTGCACGATTTTTTTTCCAATGTCGGACGTATTAAAATAGCCCATTATTAGAAGCTCGAACATCAGCGGTGTGCTGACGAAGGCAAGTTATACAGCGCCGATGCGTGTCAGGCGGTGTTGGACACAGCGCGAAAAGGATCCTGGGTTAAAATTCATTTGCCACTGACCTTTGAGCTGTGAGGAGCTCCGTCGGAGTTGATTGAAAGGCAAAATAAAGGCGAAATCTGAGAAAAACTTGAAACGTATCCTGAAAATAAGTAAAAACTCATAATAGAGCTCAGTAGTATTGCGAAAAAAGAAAGCTAGAACACTGAAAACTTATGAAAAGATCGGATTTTTCGAGCAATTGTGAGCAAACTAAGTTCATTTTATTACGAAAAAGGACAAACATACCTTACGGCGGTCTCCGAAAAGACATGTTAATTACAATCAGCGATATGAATGACACTCAAGTTTTGCAATTCCAAGCAACAATCCTTTGTTTGACATCATAAAATTTTGCAAAAATGCAAAAAAGGATTGACTTTTTCAATCTTAAAACTGTCAATATTTCAAAAGTGAAGTTAACCTTGACTATGAGAGAGGTGATGCTCGCTTCAAAAGTTGTTCAAGGTCAAATGTTGGTGGGAAACCTCGGCCGCAAGAAATTTAATTTGACCGTGTTTTTTGTTCAAATTCTTTATTATTATGCCTTGTACAGACGCTTTTATATTCTTACCACAAACATGGTACAAACACATATTGAAATATAACCCATCATAAAAATATCGAAAAAAATAAGTAAAATTTGAGAGCAAAATTTCTACGAAGAATCAAAATTCGCTAGCTTTGGTTGCTTCAAAAGTGAATAAATACTGCTGCGCCATCGTGCGCCATGCAACCAGGACATTAAGAATTTATTTCTCGTTTTACATTGTTAATATCAAGACAATTGATTAAATATTTCGATCACAACTATGAAAAACGTCTGGCAATGTCAAAATTGCCGACTTGTCGTTGGTAAAAAAGACAACAAAATATGAAGTGAAAATATATGCACAAAATATTACAACATCCACAAAAGTATAAAATATACTACCGATTTCTTGTGTACTTTGTCAAACAGCGCTTCAAAATTCATTTAAAAACGCATTTTTGTACACACATATCGAGTTTTAGGCCGTCGCCATCTTCGCTTTTGAGATTCCCGCCAAATTCGAAATGGCACAACATGATTGGTCAAAATTAAAACCCAGGATCCTTTTCGCGCTTTGTCCAACACCGCCTGGGTGCGTGTCAAAAACACGTATGCTTACTCAACATTTGTCATCAAGATACAAACCTGAGAAAGATGTTGGAGGTACCACGATTGATGTGACCTTCAGATTAGGAGGAGGGGTAAGTGCCACTTTAATAGAACTGGAGCTAATTTTAAGGTTGTTGGTTCGGTCTATATCATCAATCTAGATGAATAAATATAGAATGATTCAATTTATGTAAATAACGTAAGGACATCCCGGTTTTCATTTAAGAAATATAATACGGCGCGCGTGTCTCTGTCCTCTGATATAAACACGGTGGGAGCTCGAAAAACACGATAGAAGCAAGCTTAGGAACACGAGCATAGCGAGTGTTTCTCTTGCTTCTCGAGTGTTTTTCGAACTCCCACCGTGTTTATATCAGACGGGACAGAGACACGCGCGCCATTTTATATTTCTTAAAGAGCATATGACATGTAAACAATTTTTTGCTTGTAAAAAGATCTTAATTTAAATACTCTAATTTTAAATTTTGAGACTTCTGAAAAAAATCTTTCCGAGTTACGGCTATTTGAAATCACTTTTTTGGGGCTCATTTTTGTCACCCCTTTAGAATAGACTGGGACCGAGTGTGACGTCATTTTGTTGACAAAGCTTTGCTAGACTCCACAATCTTCTCTTTGAGCCTGTAAAACCTCTCTCGAATATATCGGATTGTAAGTCAGAAACTAGCGGCTTATTATACAATACCAATGTGGATATAGAAAAGTCAGAGTCAGACGAAATTATGGCGATTCAGGATGGGAAAAGATAGCTAAAATAATGCTGAAGTGATAGACATAGAATCGCATTTCAATCCGTAGGCGGTTTATATCAGATCAAGAAGAAGATAAAGACAGCATGGAAGATCCTGATTACTTATATACATAAACTTTGGCTCAAAGAGAAGTGTATAAAACTCTTAAGTTAAAGGCTGTTTGCCTTTATGTATAGTTTAAAACACGAGAGAGAGTGTTTTATCAGGTATAAAGGTCCATGCATGTGACCAAATAGTCTAATCCTATTGGTCTATTAACTCATTAATTGTGTATGAGTTTTTTAATAAAGCGAAAAGTATGCGTATACAAACTCTTGCCTCAGATGTAAACAAAGAAACAGTAATGAGATTCGGCGAACAGAACACGCACAGGAGAATATTGTTGTTGTTCAGAAGGTTTTAACCGTTCAAGGGAAATTAGTTTTCGGCTCAATTCTGCACTCAACGCTAGGACTGTACTTCAAATTGTTGAGTATTGGCTCAGATTCACGAATTGTTACTAACCTCTAAAAATGTCTGCTTTAATACCGGTTACCAAACCAAACACCAGCTCGTGTTTACACTTTACCTATAAGTTTTTGAACTCAGTAGCGTGAACACTATCGGATACCGATTTAAACCCTAAAAAAGGGGATTGTTAGTTGTAGTTATAATAATTATACCGCTCTAAACTGAAGACGGTTGCAAATTTTACAGGCCAAAAAGTCACTGTAGATTGTCTGGTCTTCATGTCGATCAGTAATAATGGTCTTTATAGTTTCAGTATGAGTTTTGCCGTCTCGATGTTGTCGGGATTCTTATGCACAGGTTTCTTTTAGCAGCTCCTAGCTTACACCTTCTTTATATTTTAAAACGACAAACTAGTGCCTAGATCATACAATGATTTTAGGTGTAACCACCTAAGTAAATGACATTCAAAAGTGGATACTTTCAAATCAGGGTCTTAGGAACTGAAACATACTAATACCATAGGTTTAGGTAGTATTTGTCCAGTTCAACCTCCTGAGCTATCTGTTCGCTTGTATTATACTTTTTTCTAGTTTTAGTTCTTACGTTATTCACCATGTTGGTGTCTTGAGCCAACAAAATGACGTCACGAAGGTCATGTGACCAGCGTTTGGCCGCGCGGCGGAGAGGACCAAATTTGAAGTGAAAATTCCGATCTTTGGATCATCGTAACTCAGCGAGTTTTTTTCACAATTCTCTCGAATTTGAAATTAAGAGTTTTTGAATAATACTCTTTTCACTGCCAAAAAATTGTTTTTCATGTCATATGCTCTTTAAATAAAACTTCATACAAAATTCACATAAAATATATATCCCGAGATTAGCATTATGGTTATGTTACATAGACATTTGTACAATATCATATAGTATAAATTATCTTACGGATTTCGAGACGTCTGTTTCCACAAAGATGTAAAAAAYGCCTACATCTTTGTCTCGCATTTGGATGTCTGCTCTCCCAACATATGCGTCATTTGGACTGAGCAGCCTGGCCTGAGATARCKTTGTCATCASCCTTGACTGGGAAAATGAAGTRGTTCGRCTAAGAAAGACTCGGTCATTCCAGTTGTAGGCGGAATTACCAACACCACCAATATTACGAACGGTCCACGAAACTGACAATTTCTGCCCAGAAAATCCATTCGGTGGTAGGGTGATGCTCTCGACCTTGAAGTCTGGATACTGTCTTGTAATGAATCCCCATATTGGACCAGGAATAGTTTGACCGGACTGAAGCACATACTCCACTTTCCAGAGAATCTTTTTCCCAGGGGGAAATGGTTKTGAAGGTGAGAACTCTCTGGAGCTTGTRGTACCATTTGGTGCTGTTGGTTTGGAGTTTGAATTTGTCCATAYAAAGATTTTGTACATAGTTGAACCTGCATATTGAGGCCATCGAAGAGCTTGATTCAAACCAACATTAACTTGACCTAGTTTCGGATAATCCGGTAGATGAGGATTGAGTACTCTGATTGYCTGTGCTTTAKTGTTAGCATTTCCACAATTATCCTTTGCCAGCCATGTCCTTGTAAACGTAGAGCCACAACTAATGGGAGTTATAGAATCAATATAGCTCGTACTTGATGGTATGTCACATGGATGGCTGACGTTGACAGTGGATTTTATATCTGCGTTCATCATATCGCGTGTTTGACATGCAATTATAATGTTTTCACTTAGGCTGATTACAGGTGCTAATGGGTTGATAAAACTTATCGTCTGAGTTACTTTAGCACTGTTACCAGCTCGGTCAGTGACAGTCCATATTCTCTGTATAGTGCATCCACTTTGAAAGGGAATGTCTTTATATTTGAATAAAGGCGAAGGGTCCTCGTTATCTGTAGCTGAGGGTTGACCAATAGCTGATGGCTTCATGTCGCTGGTGCAATTTACAGAGAGGTGATTCACATTTGAGATGCTAGGGGGCTGTGTATCTGTGATAATTAAACAAACGTTGCATGTAAGTGTTTAATGCGCGTTTAGKAATACTTTGAAATTGTTCTTTAATTCTGTAATTTTTTTTGGTTGATCACGTATCGTAGCGGCCCACTCACCTACTGTCCAATTGAACTGAAACRCGGGGGCTTGGTTTCCAACACCGTCTTGAGCTTTCAGCCAAAAGGTATAGGTGATGTTATTCTTGAGGTTTGATACCATAAAGCCAGATCCGCTACAGACCGAGTAAAGAGGTCTATTTCCATCTTGTGTCACTGAGCATTGATAATAGCATACACTGTCCTTGCGGCAAGCAAACTTAAACTTGGCGGATGATTCGTTTGTCACAGCAGAAGGTTTCATTGTCAGGTAAGGCTCCGGAGGCGTTACATCTGCGAAAGCATAGGATAATGGACTCACTAAATCGGTTATATTGTTGATGAGACAATAAAAATCACAAAGAAATATGCATAATTCAGTATATATATTTATAATATTCATTAATAATTCATAAGYTAMACAGCCATTCAGTGACCATTATTGTAGTCACATGACTACCCTTGTTTTCTCCAATACAAACTTAAAGCGCGGGGAGGGCTTGAATTCAGAGCAGGGAAAKGGTGGGGTTGATGAATAATAACAATAGAGAATGAGATCTATATACAGAATTCTAATAGATCTATTAGTATTCTGTATTTATATATAGAATACTAATAGATGTGTTAGCCTGCTATAGAAAAAAATATAAAATGCTGATAGACATCGATCTAGCAAAATGAATAGTTAAAATTGCACGTATTTACATTTACGATCATTTTTCTTGAGKTGGTTAAATGAATTTTCTAACTAACTCTCCGACGAACTTTGTTAACCAAGAATATTTAGAGAGTTYAACGTAGTTGGTGTCATTTCCTTCAGCCTTTCGTCAAGATTTTGCACATTATCGATATGCACATTATCGATATCACAGCCAAACCCAACGCTCTCGTTTGTTACTGAGTGTTAATTTTCTTCCCTTGCTTGTTGCCACTCGTGAAAAATTCACTTCATTTTATGTTATGTTTGGTACTAGATGTTATAAGAATCCTGCAGCCAATTTTCGTCTTCGTTCTTGTCTTTTGGTTTTCTAAARTTTGCCATAATTCTCGAGCTTGTTCTGAGTGCATGATGAACGCTAACTGAAGGCAAAAATTATGCGACATACGGTCCGTGGAAAAGAAAACAATAACTGCTTCATTACATAGCTATGGTTACATAACCCCATTGTAGAACAGATTTGATGTAACAATGTCTTTTGTAATACGTTTAACGAGCTGTGTATATTTCTATTATTACTAAGAAACAACACATTTTAGCTTTTAGCTATTGTCAAGAAATAATAACTTTAGGTGCTTAATGATGGATATCATAAGTCATATACAATATTCCCGTCCGATCTATATTTCCCAATACAGATCGGCCGCTCATATTGTATATATTACATTTTTTTTCACGTTCACCAAGCAAAACTAAAGAAACAGATAAGCATCAGTCAAGAAATCTATCATCAGTAATTGTTCTCGTACAAACTCACCAACATGCCATGAATGCGATACTGGTAAAGCAACGTTGCCAGCAATATCAGTAGCTGTGATTGAAATTTTATAGTATCCTTCTTCTAATCTTTCCCCTGACCATGAGTTATAACATGCYTGCATAGTTGTATTAACGGGACTAGTTATACTACACATAGTATTCGCCTCCTCATCGATAGACCAAGTTATTTTGATAGTTGCATTTGTCACTGTTGGTGCTAATACAAGTGTGAGGTTTGGAGCCGTGATRTCTGSCTTTTCTAAATAAAAAGGTAAAAAAATTAAGGAGCATATATGAATACCATTCCAAATACCATACTTCGAAAAGTGACAGAAATTAATTGCAATTATATTRATTATGTGGTGAATGTAGAGAATGTGTAAGAACAACCTAAAAGGTAAAACAAGCTCACACACGCAATATTTACATACTTATCTTCACCCTCCAGAAATAGCCATCCCTTTTTGGAAGAGATTCTGCCCCACAAAATTGTATTCCCTGCGCAACGCCTGTAATTCAAATTRTTATCAAATATGAGAAGCCACAACAAAAGACATACAAGGTCAATCCGTGCATAGAGTTTTAAGTCATTTTTAAAATCTTCGTCATAACAGGATGTATATGCAATCTTTAAATTTCACAATATATCGTAATCGAAACAAAAGCTAGACAATATAGACAAAGGTCAGCAATTTGTAGGGGATTAACATGTTCAAAACGTCCTACATTCTAACAATTTGATGTACTATTGATAACAAAACACAAAGGTAAATTTTASAAAATTACAATATTTCAATGTTAAAGGGTTGAAAACATAACTATGTACAWCTCTCCATCTTCGGCGGCACTCTCGTCTTCCTATTCTCTTAATCCTCCTTAGAAGTTAACTACTAAACGGTTTAACTCGCAAGTTTGAATCAACTATACTGGCTGGCAAGGTATGCGTTTTGCCACTTCTTCACTCTCCCTTCGTGAAGTGTCGCTAGCARTGTCAAGAGTTCTCAACACCATGTCTTAAAACATTCCGGCTTCAATATATTTGGAAATCAATATTCAGAGACCTTGATTCTTTCTTACCTGGATCCAATGTGATGTAGTAAGTTTGATTTTCAACAAACTTAAATGAGGGTTTATAATGGAGTATTCTTCCCAATGACCCTGTGGGGTAGGTAAATTTGCTTGATGTTGACGCATCAACACGGTTTACCTCACTACCATTGGCTCGATATATCCTTAGATATCTGCGTCTTTTAGGTCGAACGAACTTGGAATTAAAACATCAAATAATGATTGTTATGATAMATAAGGTGATGCCTGGTTTAGATTGTGATTAATACGGACATAACTACACAACTGAATATAAGTGCTGACACGATTTGATTTTACATTTTACGTTTCTTTCATTTGTCACTCGTACGAACAATATATTTTCAAAATATTAGAGACGGAAATCGATCTTTTTTAAAGATTTATAGAAATGAAAAAAACCCACACATTTGACTTGTACGTTAGTTAACATAACCTCTTACACAAGTTGCTATTAGAGGACTTAGAGGCATCTGAGTCATTTTGTATGTCGATTTGCTTATTGGATACACTTGTTAAGCATAAAACTTAGCCTTGTCAAAATATTAATGACAGTTCAAAATTTGGGAAATGTTTTTAACATCCCTAATTCATTGATTATGATGAGAATAGGATAACTGTTGTCGGGCAAAATCCGCTCGGGCTCAAATGAAACTGCTCGATCGAACCTCAAATAAACATGATTTCTATTTGAGGGAATATTGAATATCCCCTTATATAATGTGAGTTGATTATCTGCAAATAGCAAAAAAAATAGGAGTTACTTTACCTCTTTATCGAATTTGATGCGCCAATTATCTTGACTGGGATATATCCATCCTGATGGAGACTGGGAGCCATTAACAATATWTGGTGGTTCAACTGAAATTAAACAATTTTCAGAAATAAATCATATGTAACCGGTAATCTTTTGGGAAACCATTTTTTAATCCTTGGATACGTTATCACTCTGACATTTCATGATGTTGTCAATCCTATTTTCTTCCTTTTTGAAGTTTGTYTTTACAAAATAATAATAACAGTTGAGCTTATCTTGTAAAGACAGCACGTGTTTTGGGAGCGCAAAACGCGCGAACCAAGGACACAGTTTCCCAAAATGGACTATAGTCAATAAGTTAGTCATTCAATCTTACCGCCCGCCAAGAACGTGAGACAKCTTTGCTGTGATGATAAACTACAATAAAAACACCTCTTTTTATGAAATGTATTTGAGTTTTTTTTACAAAAAAAAACAACTTTTAAGAGGCTTCTAACATTTTTTGTCTAATCAAAAAACACGTTGATTTTGCTGACCTGATTTAAAGATATTAACCATAGTTTACATTATCGCACGACAATCCGCACTTTGTATGCGCCCGACAACATGGTCGCTGTCATAGTTGTTACGAAATGGCATGTAATTATGCTTTAAAACTAAAAAAATTAAATAAGTTAAAAGATAGAAAGAGAACTCCTAGAACCTTTATCATTTCACTAATATGAATACTTCGGCCTTTATCCTTTATYCAATTGATCGTTTKCGAGTTGTTGTTATTTGTTTTTGCTGTTTTGTTTGTTTGTTAATTTTTTGGATTGTTTGTTTTTTCTTTTTTCTGGTCGTCTCTGGCTTTAATACTTACCCTTTTTGATCGATAGCTGTGTAGCAGAAGATAACTGGTTCATTTTGAGATGGATCTGGAGTCCATGTTATGTTCACATACCATTCATTTKCAGAATATTGGCTCAATAGGGACTTGCGGAAGCCTGCAGGGCTGACTGTTATGATTTCTGTAATTCTGTTAGATAAAAAAGTAATCTGTTGTGAGTAGTGTCGTTTTATAGATRTGCTCCTTTCACTGGCTGGKTTTTTTTCATCTTTCTTTCCGCATTTTCCACCCAACATCATGACTAGTTTGGTTCGTACTAAAATGTTATGCATATCGCGGGCGTGGAAAGGAGTTTCATGAGGGTGGTTCCTGCTTTGCATTGCATTCTGGGTTCTGTGAAGAAGGCGTTTGACTACAAGATTGCATGAGTATTGTTTACGATTAACTGAACAAAACTGTTGGACTATCCAAAATGTGCTTGCAAACGACATGAAACGAGAATCCAAAGCCTTYAATTGAAAATCATTGCTGAGTATAGCGTCCTCCCCAGGAAATTCTTTTTTCCTCCTTTGGGCTTCCTTTGTAACGGTCATCTTGGCCGCTAGGGACTAGTAACGACAAAGGAAAAGTCCCCTTTTCTAGCACCCATTCTCCCTCTTTTGACCCCAAAAAGAAAGGAGWTCCGTGATTCTTTGTGTTGCATGCGGAGGGGGCTATGCTGAGTGTACAATTATCACCTGTTTCCTGTGCCGTGTGCTTTTGCAATAAAAGGCTCTCTAAAAGTTGATCCATGTGGGACACCAATGCAAGATCCAGCGGCTCTTGTGTTGCTTGTAAACTCGGGTTTATTGTCACAATTCTCGCTTGAGGAGTAAACCTGTACAAGGAACTGGAGTGGAATGCCACTTAAAGGATCTGTTGAAAGTCTTGAAGCAAAATCTTCGACCATGATCGCAACAGCATACCATCCAACAGAATGTACAGCCGAATAAGAAATTTGGCATTTTCGCTTTAACGATATAAACAAAAAGGTAAGACGATTACAGAGTCAGGCAAAGACCACATGCAGCRCAAAATCATTTACAAATTTCATGGCCAGAAAATCCGGACATTTGAGCCCGCAATCGCAGCGGTACTTCGCATAAATGCATAAAAACATGTTTGTAMATTTTACAAAGAAATGTATGGATCAAAAARMATATTTGAGAATAACATTTCATCTGTTTTAACTGGAAAGATTCCATAGATKAATTCGTAGAGGGAAAMTATTCTTGATTSCACTGTAGGAAATCCAAATAAATCCAATATTGTTAACAGYGTCCTTTTTGACAATTTATTTTCCTTTCGTCGTCTCCCTTTGGCCTTGTATCTCATGGTGAAAATTCGCGAAGAAGCGAAATTTCACCGTAGCTGATCGTGTTCCTTTACATGTCACTGATATTCCATAGATCATTTCTCAAAGTCCACATATTGAGGTAGGGACACAGCGATTTTCAGCTATTTTGAAGACGATCAACAGCGTCCTTTTTGGTACTAGAAATCGTACAATTTGAAAACACTAAAGGCTGATTTACACGGCACGATTGTCTCGTACGATTTGTAGTATACGACTTGAATCGCGCAGTGTAAATCCCCCTACGACTTGTCTACAACAGTCGTACGCAGCCTACGACTTGTAGTAGGATTTTGAACCACGGCTTAGGAAAATCGTATACTACAAGTCACGCGCGGAAAATCGTACCGTGTAAATCAGCCTTAACTTGACGCTGAAATGGCTGGCGAAGACGCGTGTTTCATGCGAATACTTGGCCTGATCTTCCATTTTATCATCCATGTTTGGTACCAAAATAAACCTTAGAAACATGGCTTTCAGACTGGGACTGCTTTAATTTTGGAGGTTTTTACTGGCGCCTTGCGCGCACTGGTAAATAGCGCAGATAGCGGGAAATACGAAAGAAAGATGGGCCAATCAAGACTAGTGTAAACAATGTCAGACCTTTTAAATTCCTTAGAAATGTACAAGTATAAACAAAAGATCACAATATCAACTGATGATCATTGTTTAAAATACCTGAGGGAAACGTGTGTTCCAGCAAATAATATTATTTACACTATGAACATTCCAAACGAGCACAAAGCCACTAATGAACTCAAGGATCAGGGCGTGCTATCCCAATACTCGTTTTTCGATGTTTTAAACGTTTCGATTTTAGCCCAGTATTGTATTAAGATAAAGTATCGTTGCACAAGAGTAGAAAATTTGATCTTCAAAAGTTTAGGGAACTTGTAGAAAGCTCTATTTTGGTGGGGAAATCCGCTGACTCGTCCTGGGCTCAAATGTCCTGAATTTCTGGCCATGAAGGGACCGCACAATGATTATCGTTGCGAAATTCTTAAGTTAAGTTAACTTTAGATCGACGCTATTTACTAGTAAGTTCGTACGAGCAATTTCACGGTTATAACAATAATCCTGAACCTTTCAAAAAACGCCTTTCATTTTTTAAAACTGACCTCATCTAATATAGCCCCTGGAAACGTCTTGCATACTCCACCACATTCATATTTACTAGACTCCGCCCATCGACATCTGATATCGTCGTTATCGACGTCACTTACTGCAAAATAGTCGATAAGAAAAATGCAAAACATAGATAGATGAGAATTAATGCTATTCCTGGTCCTTTTCTGAAAGATATACCATAAGATGGTATAAKATGAATTTAATCAAATGATTTAATTGAAAATTGCAGCCAATACCTGGGATGATTAAAGTATGATTGCATTTATACTGCAGTCTTACTATTGGAGTCATGGCTGTCACAGGAGAGGTATTCAAGCGTCCAGTATCACTTCGTTTCGTGAGATTAACATTCATTCGAACATCCCAATTGCCYCCTCCGACTTGCAAATGAAACCAGGCAAAGCCTGAGAACCTAAATACAATAGAATAAACAATCAATTTTTAGAAGAAGGAGCCAAACTATATTGTAACTTATTTCTCGCCTAGGCCTACAAAGTTGGCTTAAGACGCCCTAAAAATTGCCAAGGGACCCCACCTAATTATCATCCAAATTTTATTAAGTCGCCTTAAGTTTCCTTAAGCTGCCACAGTGCCCCACCCAATTTACCCTCATTATTTCTTAAGTCGTCTTAAGCTGCGSCGACTTAAGGCGAATTTCGGAATTGGAAGCAGTGGGCTTCACCTTGCTTGGTACACTGGATGTGTGATGTCACTAAATGTGTAAGTAGTGTTTCTTCCTCCTGTTGACCAATCTTCAACCGTACTGAAATCCGTACACTTAAATATCAAGGAAGTGATTCTACCAGAACATCCAGAAMTACAATACAAATACTCTAGTGGGCCAATAAGTGTTCCGGAGTTGATAAGAGATTGGTCACAAAAGGTTTTACTATCCCAAGACCTCCTCCATGCTATCCGAAAAGAAACCATTACCTGCAATAATAAATCTCATAATCAAAAATAATACATAATTAATGAGCTTGTAGGACAATTTGATTCATTTGATCACCCAAATGAACCTTTATATCTGATAAAGGTCGTTACACTTATCCGGTATTAGACAGTATTAGTACCAATGGAATAAAATCAATTCAATCCAAGTTTATTGAGAGGCATGGTTCAGGATGGTTACACAGTAGACCGACCCAGAGTCACATGTGTGTAGCACGACTCTGAGTAATAACAAATAAAAGATGTAGAAATATGTGTATTTGAATATGGATATAAATCATAGCACAGACACAGATTCTTTACAAAGCAAAACCTTAAGATAAAACCTTAAGAAAATAGTTAAGTGAAACACAAGTGTAGCTATTTTAGCAGAAAAAGGTATTTTACCAAAGCGATAGAAAACTTTTTCCCGTATTTACATACTAGCCTGATGCAAACACCAATACATGYTCGCTCGAAGATACGAATTCTCGTTCACGTATTCTTGGTTTTCACTGATCACGTGATAGTCTAAAAACCTATTTAGAGGCCAAATTAGCGAAATGGTATTATTGTCCTGTAGAGAACATTAAAGACCATTGCGAACTTTTGAGCCAAAACAATGCTTTTTAACAGAAATACGAGCGATCTAAGATTGGTAAGAATGAATGGGATTATGTCGGCTCAATGCCTTTTTAGACTCGTCATAAATACCTACAAAAAAGCTTTTTTGAAGGTCCAAAAATGAGTTTGAAGTCCAAGGCGCAAAAGCATATAATTCCCAACAATTATGTTATAAAATTTGTTATCAAACTGTCATTTTGTAGCAAAAATACGCTCTATCAATACAAAGAAATGGAGGACAGTAACTCCGAGAGTCGAATTGAGCTCAAAACTAATGATCTTTTCGAGTTTTTTGGGGTGTTTCAAGTCGCGTGATGGTATTGCTTGAAATATTTTTGAACGTTTTAAAATAACTCAACGAACAAAAAAACAAAACGAGTCTAAACTTGTTTTGTTGAGAACTTCTACAATGCTCTCCAGGGTATTTTAGTACTAAAATCTTGTTTGTCTGTGTTTTTAGAATTTCTTAAATTGATGACGTCATGTGCAAACCAAGACTCCTTGCATGCATGTAATATCCAGTCTTTCTCAATTTTCGAAAAWYATTTGCCCGACTTCACGCTCTAAGAGCGTCTAGTTCGCCACTAAAGTGAGGAATGTGGGTCTCGCTTCATCAAAGTCGCTAGAAAGGATGGTGCCATATATCTGTTGTCTTCGTGACCTTTGCATATCTTGAATAAAATGAGCCAAATATACAACCAATACAACCTTAATTTCCTTAATTTAAATCAAACAAAAGAATTTTGTCTACACAAATGATCTAATTAAGTAAAAATTATCAAAGAAAGGGGGACTTGTTTTTGAAAACTAAATAACCTTAGTGCGCGATGAGAGGCTTCGCAACCCCGGATTCAGAACCGAAGTTTGAATGATAAGGCTTAGAGATTCAWTGTAAAAAAGGTCTATAAGTAGTGTTATTACTCATTTTATTATAATTATATTAGCCTTTAGTAATTATTAGCTGCAACAGTGTTAAAAAAATGTGTTCTCATTATCGCCTAAAAATTTAAGTAATTCTTTCGAAACAATCAATATCGTTTAACTTTTCAACAATATATTTTTAACATAAAAAGAAGAGTTTAGACTAACATTATAGCTCATTGATTAAGGTATTGAATATTGATAATCCACTATTTGCTACAATTATTAAAAGAGTACATTCCGCAAATTATTGTAGATATGTGCATCTCTCACTTACTCTTTTGTCCAATATATTGCTCGGATTKACTGGCTTCCAACTCATTGAAACACCCCTGAAGTGAGATCCAATTACAAGTACTGGTGAGAATATSGAAACGATAGCCAAAAAAAGAAAGTGCGTGCCATATGCTCTTTTAGCCATGGTGGTTAGGTAGAGCTRTTAAGGCCGGAGCAACACTCTTCGAATGGATTGCAGTCAACTATAAACGGGAATAACACCCCATCTGTTACACAGGCAGCCCAAGCAATTTCGACAAATATTGAGTTCACTAAAAGAGATCAATTGATGAATTTAATGAAAGAAGAGAATTTGACTACAAAATGTAAGGAGTTTATAGAAGTGAATATCTTTTTAATATTATTGGAATGTGGAGTAAAAAGGATAGGTTTTGTACTTTATACCACGAATYTGAGTTCTTGTAAATTGTGTAAATTCTCGGAAGGAAGACATTACCGGGAATTGACGACAATTTTTYCATACATTCAACAGTTGACTGAACATAGCATATGAATATTCATATGCTCAAAGTAACATAGGACAAGGTAAAAGTATTGTTTATCAGAACCAAACRCTAATAACTATGTGATGATACGGACCAAGATTCAGAGAAGCTYTTTAAAACAATTCAGGCCGCTATAATCAAAATACAGTAGGCAAAAGTTTTGAAATCTCATACGGTAGAGCTAGCTTCAGTTATGAGATACAATATTAAAAATCGCTTGCGACGCAAGATATCAAATAACAAGGGCTCAATTCGGATGCTCAGTTCACATGTTTTCTTCATTTCAAACAGTTTAATTGATGTGGATCGAATATAGAACGCGATGCATGGCCAGTGCTTAGAATATGTAAAAAGCTGTAAATATTTCAAATACCATTTTCAACACACTTGCGTAAACTCTCGCGCGCTGATTGACGGATTAGAGTGTGTCATGAAGAGGACATACAAACTGTGCAGGCCCGTTACCAAGGGGGGTGCACTGGGTGCACGTGCACCTCCCAGAGAAGCTGAAGTTCCGCTCATCTATCTTTATGTTTTTTAAAGAAATTACAAGAATCTTTGTTTTAGATTTTAAATCAATTTAGTGCAAAAACATAATTTGTTTTGTCGAATTTATCGGCACGAATCCGCTGTATTTGTTTTTCAAAACGAACTGGATTCAAACTGAATCCGTGAAGGACCTTGTATAAGGTGTAGTTATAACGTGTAATCACAAATAATAAAGATAATCATAAACAGTAAGAAGTGTCACAAGTTGCAATATGCTATTGTGTATTTCATGGGGTTTGAAAACCGCTCCGACTTTAACTCATTGTCGACTGATGTCGATTTGTTGATTTTTGAGCTTTTTCGACCCTAACATCTTTATAAAATAATTGACTTCCATATAAGGTGCTGTCAATAAAACTATTTCGGATTTGAATTCCCTAGGGAGCATTAATTTATGCAGGGCTTTGTAAATTTAGGTCAGACCGTTTGTTTATCGACTGGTTGAGCCTAAATTTACCTAAAAACCCGTTTATAAGTGTTTTTTTTAGCTTTTTGCTGCCACAGGAGCCCCTAGGCTTGCATCATTAAGCTTGACTAGTCGGCAGAGACAATCTTCTGGAAGAAATCAGAGGTGGAAAGCGATTTTTCGAAGACAATGACTCCAAGTCACGGTTTGTTTTGAACTGGAGACATCATTGTAAGATCGCTTTCCTGGTCCATCTGTGGCAGATTTTCCAACCTACCAAGGTAATTTTGGCAATATTTGACAACCAAAGAATGCAATTGGCCCGATATTTTGCCTGTAGGTGCGGGGGAGCTCACACTTATAAAAAAATTCTTAAAAGAAGAATGCTGCACGATTTATGTCCAAATTTTCCGTCTTCCCATGATGCATTTCGATCGTGCATAGAAGTTTGTTGTACCTGGTCTTCAAAAGAGGGCTGTTTAAAAATCTGGAGTGCATTTGACAAAATGAAAACATCGAAATGAGGACGTTCTATCAAAGGGGTTTGCAAACCAAGTGGACTTTTTGCTAGGAGAACATATTTTGACGCTACAAATTGAGATGAAAATCAGTGTACTCTGCCGTCCTTCAAACTCAGATTTTGGCATTCATTTCAAAGCAGAGTCATGTTTTGTGTCTTTTGTTTCCTCGTTGCGAAATTCTTTTAACTGTAAGATCGACAGTATCTACTAGTAAGTTCGTACGAGCAATTTCAGGGCTCTAGCTTACTATTTCGGCAACTTATAGACTTTTGACGCATAGGTCGAATTCGACCTAAATTTCAAGGGGCAGACGGGAAAGAGTTAAGCAAAAAATAATTTTTCACAATTTGTTGGCTATTTGGTTTCAATCTTTCGTGGACCAGTGTTTACAACAAGTTTGATTACTTTCCCAAAGTTTAAGACAAAACTATGAAGGCAGTCGAGAGATATGGGGTTGGTTGTCTTGAAACCTAGCCGTTAGGGTCTTTTTTACAAAACGCACCAAAGTGAAAGTATGAGGGGTGGTCATCTTCATGTTTAAGCATAGCCAAAGAACTTGAAGTAGTTGAGCATGGTCGATGTTGTGTGCAGATCTCATCTATGGAGTTTGAATCTGCTGGAGAAGGCCGGTCACGTGACTAGCTCTAGGTCAAAACCCTATCCCGAAGCCCCCATGTAGACCTAGCACAAGGCTAACCCTAAGCCAAATCTTAACCCTAAGCCTAAGAAAACAGTCCTAACCCTAAGTATATGTTAGCCCTAACCGCAATTTTAACAAATATTGCGAAAAATCACAGGTCACGTGACCCTCATTTTCGGGATTAACTCATTGTCGACTGATGTCGATTTGTTGATTTTTGAGCTTTTTCGACCCTAACATCTTGATAAAATAATTGACTTCCATATAAGGTGCTGTCAATAAAACTATTTCGGATTTGAATTCCCTAGGGAGCATTAATTTATGCAGGGCTTTGTAAATTTAGGTCAGACCGTTTGTTTATCGACTGGTTGAGCCTAAATTTACCTAAAAACCCGTTTATAAGTGTTTTTTTGAGCTTTTTGCTGCCACAGGAGCCCCTAGGCTTGCATCATTAAGCTTGACTAGTCGGCAGAGACAATCTTCTGGAAGAAATCAGAGGTGGAAAGCGATTTTTCGAAGACAATGGCTCCAAGTCACGGTTTGTTTTGAACTGGAGACATCATTGTAAGATCGCTTTCCTGGTCCATCTGTGGCAGATTTTCCAACCTACCAAGGTAATTTTGGCAATATTTGACAACCAAAGAATGCAATTGG